CCCGGGGCCAGGCCAGCCCTGAGCACTTGGCGGGCGCAGACAAATGCCCCGTGGGCGCCATTGCGCCCGCGGGCACCGTGTTGGGGACCACAGATGTAAGGGTTTGTGTTCAGGCTCTGTCCATTGGGATCTGACTTCTTAGTCACTTATTCCAAAACTAGTAGAATCAGATAGCTGACATGACCCATCCATTAACTATTAAAGCACAATGTTCTTGTGTCAAAGAAGGCTACAAACTACAGTTTCATAAGAAAGGTATACATCAGTTACAACAGAGCACAATATGGACATTTATTGATCATTTAAGCTACACATGCATTCTGGTCAGATAACAGAAATTGCTGTGCATATTTTCTGTTAGGAATTCTTCACTGGAATTAAAGCACCAGTGTGTATAGAGCAGATTTTCCAAGATAGCTCTTTCTGTTTTGTTTCTGTTCTAAAGAATCATACCATACTATGAGCAGATTTGTCCTTTTAAAACAGAAATCATAAGTTTGGTGTGGACAATGCTTTACACTCTCTTCATGGTCCATAGAACCAAAAGAGGGAAGAGGCAGGATAGCTAATACTTGACCTGCATGTTGTACCTCCGGTGTTCCTGGGCAGTGCAGTACTTCTCCTCAGCCTGCTGTTCTCTTTCACATTCCCACATCTGTTGCTGGATTTTTTTCTTCCTTTTGTGCTCCATGCAGGCGTTTCTCTGGTGTTCATATTCTATTTGATTTTCTCCAAGTTTCTCTAATAAAGGAGTGCCCTGTGTCTGGGAGAAATGATGCATGAAAACTAAGACCTTAGTCCTCTTACTTCTGACTTGATTTCAGCATTTTGCAGCCTGTAGCTGAACTCTAGAGCTGTATTCTCTCTAAATTGCCTGCTATTTTGAAAGGGAAAAAATTATTTCAAAATTAGATCTACAAGACTGATTTCTAAAAAAAGAGCCACGAGTTTCAGGTTTTGCAGCTGATATCCAGAACCTTGAATATTATAATACCTAATTATAATACTGTTTCACCATAGATTACTTACCCCTAGTGATGGCTTGAAATCACAGTGGATTAAGACATCTTTCAGTCCGAGATATTGTCTTGGTGACTGTTCAATAGTTTCAAACATTGCACTCTGGTTGGTTGATGCAACAGGGTATGTGTCCAAGGAGAAAATTGTTCTAGATTCTGTTTTCCCTTTTGTACACTTACTGCTAGGAATGCTGATTCCTGGGGACATAGATACTATATTTAATGTGCATAATCAGATTTTTACATTAAAAACAAAAAATGGTAGTTGTTTGTAAAGAAAAATGTTTTACATTAAAAACAAAAAATGGTAGTTTGTAAAGAAAAGTGCAATTTAAATCTAAAAGGAACTCTTCTAGATGCATGATTTCTGGTTCTAGATATCAGTTACTAAAGCAGATGTTAATTGTGTGGATGGCACCTTGAAAAATGTGGTGGGGTAGCTGGGGAATTAGGAATTTAGAGTTACATATATGTGTTCCTAAATATGATTCCATTTTTGTGTGACTTTCCATGGACACCGTACTGGAAAAAAGAACCCTTTCATGTGATGAAGAGAGCAAAACATTGTGCATATTTTGCATTTATAGAAACTAACAAAAGGGATTTTTAACCACTGCTCGGTTTAGGCCCCAATACAAAGTTTTGCTTTACCCTTTTAAAAAGGAGAGTGGGGCCACAAAATATTTAATTCTTAGTAGTCATTAAAGGATTAATGATATATGGTCACATTTGTTTTCTGTTCTCCATGCACAACACATGATTTGCCTACCATGGTTGAAATAAGATAAGTTGGATATTTACAAGTACATCTATGTCACTACTATCAGAGATATGGGCCCGCATTGAAGTCTAACACTGAATGAGATACGTCAGCCTAAAACGGTCCATCAAATCTTTTCAGTGAAGAAGTGCCTGTTGACAAGTCACCAAGGAAGGGGATGAAATATACCTGGGTTCCTAGGCTGTAGCTTGGGGTGGCTTCTCTTCCAATAATTCCACTCAAGTCTTGCACCATCTTCCCGTTTGAATTTGTTGAAAAGACAGGGTTTTGTATTAACAGCACTATCCACTACCATGCTCTTAGTTAGACACCTCTCCCCCTTGCTTTCTAAATCAGAAGAGGAGGAGGAAGTGTCAGCAGCAGGAGCTGCTGGTTCCTTTTCTTTTGGACTTTCCAATTCCAGAAGCTGTGCAGTGGGCTGCTTGTTGTTCGACTCTTGCGCTGTAGTGCTTCTTTGAGGGAGCAAAGCTGTGGCTAGCAGGCGCCACCAGACACTGAATTTGGGATGGGAACAGCAGATGCACCCTACATGTACTGGTGACCAGCATGCACTGTAACAGAGACCATGAAAAGGGGGGTGCATTAATGTGCATAGCCAGGCACACCCGTACCTATTTTGCCCAGCTAAAGAACATGAAGGGATGGGTGAAGTGAGAGGTCTGCACAGACAAGTGTAAGAGCTAGTGGTGCTGGGGGCATTCATGAGTTTTAATCTGCTGCTGATGGGCATGTGAATCATCTCTACTATTCTTTCCCATGTATCTGGTGAAATCCACAAGGCCACACCCAATGGTACTTTGACTTTCTTGCCATTCCAGGAATAAACTGTGATTTCTTCATCCTCTGAGGCTATTGACAAGAAAAAGGTAAGAAACCATTAGCTAGTACTGGTTTGCTTGGGAAATACTAGTGTCTTGACTAGGGATGTGAATGGTTAACCAATTAACCAGCAAGCATCACCCTTGCTGTGGGATACTTACCAGTTATGGTTAATTGGTGCAGGCTGAAGCAGTTCCCCACCTGCCCAGAGCAGCCTCTGTCCATGGCAGGTCAGGGGTATTCCAGCCCAGCTGTTTAACCAGTTAATTGATTAAATGGGATTTTTCATCCCTACACTTGACTGATCTCTGTAATTGAATATGCATTTCCTACCTTTGTTAGAGCAGTAACCCTCTCATGTCCTACCACCATTTCCTCATTTACTGCTAGATTGGGCAACAGCTACTGAATTTGCCATTGTTATCATAGACCTGGCAGCAGTTTTCCTGCAAACCTATTCCAATGTGAAACAGCCACAAATGGTAACTGGGTAACTTTTGTTACTGCAGTGATAATTCAATGACATTTTACCAGTGTTTTGATAAGCAAAACAGGGCAGAATTGTGAAACATGGGTGCATTATTAATCTGTCTAAATTCCACATGGTTGTGCTCAGATCAGCACTTGTATATACAAATAACCCAGTGCCAATTTGAGCATTCCAATATGCACCATCATCGTAACGCTGCCCCCTTTGAAAACTAGGCTTCCTTGTGCATCAGGTCTCAGGAATGGAACGCGTTACCCTTTCCCCTACCTTTGTTTCAGTAGGAAGTTAAACTGAATAACTGCTAAAAGAGTAGAGAGCACAGATGGCAAAGGTACAAAATTTAAAAGTCTGTTTTTAACAAAAGATCAATCTGAAAGTAACTTTCACACTCAAGATATTGCTAAGGAGCACTCTGTAGGAATCTCACTACTTCCCACTACGTCCCTGGCAGCCTGTGCGATTTTTAAAGTAAACATTGCAAACTGTACTGATGCTTCTGATGTTGCAACAGTACCAAAAATACTGTCATTTTTACCATTTTAGGGGCTTCCTTCTTACCTCTGAGGGGATCCCTTGTTTCAATGCCCAGTAGGGTAGTTCCAGGGCCATATCTGACCAGGTCAGGTTCCCAGGGTGCCAGCACTTTGTCTCCAGGGAGTATGGAGTGCCTCATTCCATTGACATACTCAAGGATGTCATCCCTGGCTGTTTTTTGTACACAGACTGTGTACTTGTCACCCAGGACAGGTGGTTTGTCAAACTCTACCAGAAAAGTTCCTCTCTCGTCCTGCTACTGGGAGCAAAAGAGAATTACGAGGAAGTCCACCAGGTAATACATTAAGGCCTTGGAATACAGGCAGCAGTCCTTCCACGGCAGGGACTAGACTAGGCCTGAACTCCAGGGCAGCAAGCAGCACTTGCTATGGTAGTCTGCCATATGGAGAGCTGGAAAGAACTAGAGGGCTATTTGTGTTCAGCAGCCACAGTCAAATACACCCAGTCTCCACCACAAGTCAGTCTGTATTTCCCCCCCACTGTAAAAGACACTACAGGCTTGAGACTACATGCCCAGCTGTAATTCTGCTGCTGCTGCTTTCACTAACTCCCCTGTATGCAGAGGGCAACACCGTATCCGGATGCAGTTCAGAGCTCTTCTCTATTCATGTATGAATCCTTTCCTATTACATATTGGCTACGTCTAGACTGGCATGATTTTCCGGAAATGCTTTTAACTGAAAAGTTTTCCGTTAAAAGCATTTTCGGAAAAAAAGTCTAGATTGGCACGGACGCTTTTCCGCAGAAGCCATTTTCACAATTGGGGCTTTTTTGCAGAAAACAAATCTCAGCTGTCTACACTGGCCGTTTTGCGCAAAAGTTTTGCGCAAAAGGGACTTTTGCCTGAACAGGAGCAGAATAGTATTTGCGCAAGAAGCACTGATTTCTTACAGTAGGAAGTCAGTGCTTTTGCGGAAATTCAAGCGGCCAGTGTAGACAGATGGCAAGTTTTTCCAGAAAAGCGGCTGATTTTCCGGAAAAACTGGCCAGTCTAGACACAGCCACTGGGTAACAGGCATTTTACCTTTTAAAAAACGGTTAAGGAGCTTTGCATCAGCAAAGTGAGGCAAGCCACTCTCCTGCTCTTCAAAAAGAATAGGCCTTTTTTCTTTTTGAAGTGCTAACCACAGTCATTAGTGGCTATGCAAAGACATGCTGTGCCTTGGGTTGCAGAGGAATAAAGCTGTAAGTGTATACACAACACAGGAACAGTTTCCCTGCGGTATTGATGTTTATCTGTCTATTCACAGCAGTAGCTGGGGCGCTGTCCCTGACAACACAAAATACATCTCACCCTGGCTCAGTGCCTAGCGGGACTGGCATAGAAACAAGCCTGCCCTGCAAGCTGCTGAGAGTCCTGACGTGTAGCAGGCACCAAAGTTTCTTCCACTTTGCAGGGTGGGTCCAACTGGGACCATGTGAAGTTCCAAAACAGGTAAGTGCGGGAGGAAGCCTGGCAAGCCAAAGTGAGGCACTGGCGTGGTACTGTTCACAGCAGGAGCTTCCCTGAAGAGCTCAGTCTGGTAGGCCCTGTCTCCCAGGTAGCTGCCTTGTTTTCTGAGTAACAGACAAGCTCCACTTCCCACAAACCAACAGTCCCAAATGCCAACTGGGATAGCTGCGGGCAGGTGAAGAAAGCCCAGCACAGAAGGTGTAGAGGCTGCAGAATAGCAGCTAGAGAGGCTGCATACAGGTGTCATGTCAGCCAATTGCTTTGTTCCCCAATCTGACACATGCAATACGCCATACATAGGGCTAGGAGGATGGGCTGAACCACTGTTCGGTTAGTCCACTGCTAATCCAATGGCATTTTACCAGTATTCTTCTGCTAAGCAAATAGGGCTGAATTGTGAAACACGGGTACATTGTTAAGCTGTTTACATTCCACAGTTTGGATCAGCATCTGGCTGTACAAATAACCCAGTGCCAATCTGTGCATCCCAACGGGAACCATCCTCTGAATACTGCCCCAGCTGGAAACTAGGGGTTCCTGTGCATTACATCTCAGGAATGGAACATACTACGGCCCCCAGAGATGGCCTTTCAGCCACTGGAGCTGCACAATCCCAAATGCAGATGCTCTTTTTGTGACTTGTCTCCTGACTTCATGCAATGGCCTACATCAGAACCAGCACAGCCCCCCTGTATGATGCATAGAGCCCACTGCACAGCTCATCTGCCTATGCGCTCCCACAAGCCAATTCTGCCCAGAGTGGGCATTCAGGTGGTGGAGAGTTAATAGTGGGAAGAAGTATTCTGCAATCCCAGTGAATCTTCTGTCTGGGGAAGAGTCCCCTGGGTGATCCATGTGACTTCCTACAATGAACAGGTCTCAGTGTGTGTGGGGGGAGGGGGGGGGAGGGTTTGTCAGTGCATAGAAAATAGCTACCAAAGAAAAGGAAGCCAATAATCACTTGCCTCTAGCTCCTGTTTTATCATACCAAGATAATAAAACCCATCCATTTCCCTTCTTGCTAGAACAGGAACATTAGCAAAGTCCACTGTTTTTTCCCACATCATCAGCTCCTTACATGCTGTGTCACGTAAATGGGGACAGTGGCTGATCCATGGGCAACTGGAATAAAACGAAAAGGGTTAGTGGTGAGAGTAACAGATTCCATAAGTCAAGCAAAAATAATCTAACTTTCAAGGGACATCTGGTGGACTGTTTTGTTCCACCCCCTGGTGCAAAGCCGGGAGGAACTCGCTGCTTGCTTGTTCAGAAGAATCCCTCACTTGTTTAACACCAACACAGCTGACTTAATTTATTCTTGGATCTGACTTTTAATACGCCTATCATCTGTAGAAGTAGGCTGTGCCCATGAAAGCTCATGATACCATGTACATGTTTTGTTAGCCTTTAAGGTGCTGCAGAACTATTTGTTGTTTTTTAAGTTTTTCCAGTTACAGGCTAACTCAGCTACCCCTCTGAAGCTTTTGAACAGCTGACTCAGACAGCCCCTCTCAGCCTGACACCCACTGAGCGGTTTGGTGGTTGTGGTAAGATCTCACTGTGACCCTGGATTGGTATACCCTACAGCAACAGTTGCTCTTATTTGTGCTGGGAGCCAAACTAGCTTCAAACTACTAAGATCAGGTTGAAAAGAGTAGCCCAGGTCCCCTTGAATCATCCCCCTGTGATAGCCAGCCCCTGCTATTGGCTATTCTCAGAAAGCCCAGCTCCTCTGCCCCCAAAAGAGCAGTGTGCCCCAGTTTACCACTTTTACGTTCTCATCACATCTGTACAGCAGCACTTATAATAAAATGAAAGAAAGTTAATTTAAAAATAGAGATTCCACTAGACAAAAAATAGCGCTGGAAATGTCTAGTTACAATACAAAACAAAACAAAGTGCAAGTTACAACCTACGCTTTATAACCAGTTACCTTGCCCTGCTAATAAGTTCCCCCACCCAAAGCTCAGTTTGTTACAGAGCTAGCTAGCAGCATAGGAATTGGGATCCAATTTTTTGTGACCCACCCTCAATCAACATGTTTCCCCAGTGAATGGGTACAGAGTCTTTTTTCATCCTGTGGATACTGAAACTATTTTTTCCTCTTTATTCACAGACATGGAAATCCCCTGTCTGTTTTAATGGTCCTTTTATTTCCAAGTGGTTTTGATTATTTACAGTAATCTTTGATAGATTTCCAATTACACTTCTGGAATAGGGCATTATTAGACAATTGAGCCTTGTGTTACATCACCAGCTGACTAGGGAGGGGTGCCAACTTCCTCCTGCTTGAATGGGCCATCACCTAGTCATACAATTCCCTGGTGACTAACTTTACTCTAAGACCATCTGATAGTTTCAATATGGTTATATATTGCTTAACTATTTCCCGTACACCCGTCTCATGATGGTTACAAGTGGTGATAAGTTACAAGCTTTCAGTAGAGGGCTCACCTGCTACCTTTCATGGAAAAACACCATGAAAGAGATGTATTAGATGTAGTGAGTTTGTTAGAACTAGGAAAGGAGTTGTTTGTAAAGGACAGGGAGCCCTTTTCTAGTTGGCACCAATTGGCCTTGTCAAAGAGCATTTCCTTAGTTCGTAGGCTTACGCCATCAGTTATTTTCTGTCATCTACAGTGTTGCAGGCAATTTTAATCAGTAATGGTCTATGAAGCTAACAATTAACAAATTATGGCCCTACTCAAACTATCTTCATTTTGCTAATTTGTCACGAATGGTGGGGGGGGGGGGGGGGGAGGGTTTGTCAGTGCATAGAAAATAGCTACCAAAGAAAAGGAAGCCAATAATCACTTGCCTCTAGCTCCTGTTTTATCATACCAAGATAATAAAACCCATCCATTTCCCTTCTTGCTAGAACAGGAACATTAGCAAAGTCCACTGTTTTTTCCCACATCATCAGCTCCTTACATGCTGTGTCACGTAAATGGGGACAGTGGCTGATCCATGGGCAACTGGAATAAAACGAAAAGGGTTAGTGGTGAGAGTAACAGATTCCATAAGTCAAGCAAAAATAATCTAACTTTCAAGGGACATCTGGTGGACTGTTTTGTTCCACCCCCTGGTGCAAAGCCGGGAGGAACTCGCTGCTTGCTTGTTCAGAAGAATCCCTCACTTGTTTAACACCAACACAGCTGACTTAATTTATTCTTGGATCTGACTTTTAATACGCCTATCATCTGTAGAAGTAGGCTGTGCCCATGAAAGCTCATGATACCATGTACATGTTTTGTTAGCCTTTAAGGTGCTGCAGAACTATTTGTTGTTTTTTAAGTTTTTCCAGTTACAGGCTAACTCAGCTACCCCTCTGAAGCTTTTGAACAGCTGACTCAGACAGCCCCTCTCAGCCTGACACCCACTGAGCGGTTTGGTGGTTGTGGTAAGATCTCACTGTGACCCTGGATTGGTATACCCTACAGCAACAGTTGCTCTTATTTGTGCTGGGAGCCAAACTAGCTTCAAACTACTAAGATCAGGTTGAAAAGAGTAGCCCAGGTCCCCTTGAATCATCCCCCTGTGATAGCCAGCCCCTGCTATTGGCTATTCTCAGAAAGCCCAGCTCCTCTGCCCCCAAAAGAGCAGTGTGCCCCAGTTTACCACTTTTACGTTCTCATCACATCTGTACAGCAGCACTTATAATAAAATGAAAGAAAGTTAATTTAAAAATAGAGATTCCACTAGACAAAAAATAGCGCTGGAAATGTCTAGTTACAATACAAAACAAAACAAAGTGCAAGTTACAACCTACGCTTTATAACCAGTTACCTTGCCCTGCTAATAAGTTCCCCCACCCAAAGCTCAGTTTGTTACAGAGCTAGCTAGCAGCATAGGAATTGGGATCCAATTTTTTGTGACCCACCCTCAATCAACATGTTTCCCCAGTGAATGGGTACAGAGTCTTTTTTCATCCTGTGGATACTGAAACTATTTTTTCCTCTTTATTCACAGACATGGAAATCCCCTGTCTGTTTTAATGGTCCTTTTATTTCCAAGTGGTTTTGATTATTTACAGTAATCTTTGATAGATTTCCAATTACACTTCTGGAATAGGGCATTATTAGACAATTGAGCCTTGTGTTACATCACCAGCTGACTAGGGAGGGGTGCCAACTTCCTCCTGCTTGAATGGGCCATCACCTAGTCATACAATTCCCTGGTGACTAACTTTACTCTAAGACCATCTGATAGTTTCAATATGGTTATATATTGCTTAACTATTTCCCGTACACCCGTCTCATGATGGTTACAAGTGGTGATAAGTTACAAGCTTTCAGTAGAGGGCTCACCTGCTACCTTTCATGGAAAAACACCATGAAAGAGATGTATTAGATGTAGTGAGTTTGTTAGAACTAGGAAAGGAGTTGTTTGTAAAGGACAGGGAGCCCTTTTCTAGTTGGCACCAATTGGCCTTGTCAAAGAGCATTTCCTTAGTTCGTAGGCTTACGCCATCAGTTATTTTCTGTCATCTACAGTGTTGCAGGCAATTTTAATCAGTAATGGTCTATGAAGCTAACAATTAACAAATTATGGCCCTACTCAAACTATCTTCATTTTGCTAATTTGTCACGAAGGGCAGAGACTTGTGTAGCCCAAGGTCCAGTGTGCTTCAACAGCAGCCCTGGGAACTACAAATTGTGGACTGCAAATTGCGGCATGTTGGGAGAACTTCCTGCTAGGATGTATCCTCTGCCCTAAGCAGGATCTGAGCAAGGACTAAGCTAGAAGCAGCAGGCAGGCTGCATGTAGAGAGGAGGAGCTGCTGAATTGTGATCCTGTTCTGTGTTTTTTTACAGGTAGGACCAAAAAGGGCTACAAAACACCCTGAAAGGAGTTTAAGTGATACAAAGGGAGAACATGGCCTTGGTTGTTGTGGGGCTTAGTTCCTGTGGGAGTTGGACCATGTTGGAAGGGGGCTGTATTGTATGTTGTAACCTCTGCCCCCAGCAGGGTCTCAGCAGGGACTGAGCTGGAAGCAGCAGGCAGAGAGGAGAGGCTGCTGAACTGTGATTCTGTTCTATATTTTTTTACAGAATAAAGCCTGTTCCTGGTGGTTTGTCTGAGTGGGTCTGGTCTGAGGTGCGTACACACACAGTACACAACACAAAGCACGCCAAGTAGCCTCAGGCCTGGCCTCCCACAGGTGTGTAAAAAGTCACAAGGCTTCCCTAAAACGAAAAGGGTTAGTGGTGAGAGTAACAGATTCCATAAGTCAAGCAAAAATAATCTAACTTTCAAGGGACATCTGGTGGACTGTTTTGTTCCACCCCCTGGTGCAAAGCCGGGAGGAACTCGCTGCTTGCTTGTTCAGAAGAATCCCTCACTTGTTTAACACCAACACAGCTGACTTAATTTATTCTTGGATCTGACTTTTAATACGCCTATCATCTGTAGAAGTAGGCTGTGCCCATGAAAGCTCATGATACCATGTACATGTTTTGTTAGCCTTTAAGGTGCTGCAGAACTATTTGTTGTTTTTTAAGTTTTTCCAGTTACAGGCTAACTCAGCTACCCCTCTGAAGCTTTTGAACAGCTGACTCAGACAGCCCCTCTCAGCCTGACACCCACTGAGCGGTTTGGTGGTTGTGGTAAGATCTCACTGTGACCCTGGATTGGTATACCCTACAGCAACAGTTGCTCTTATTTGTGCTGGGAGCCAAACTAGCTTCAAACTACTAAGATCAGGTTGAAAAGAGTAGCCCAGGTCCCCTTGAATCATCCCCCTGTGATAGCCAGCCCCTGCTATTGGCTATTCTCAGAAAGCCCAGCTCCTCTGCCCCCAAAAGAGCAGTGTGCCCCAGTTTACCACTTTTACGTTCTCATCACATCTGTACAGCAGCACTTATAATAAAATGAAAGAAAGTTAATTTAAAAATAGAGATTCCACTAGACAAAAAATAGCGCTGGAAATGTCTAGTTACAATACAAAACAAAACAAAGTGCAAGTTACAACCTACGCTTTATAACCAGTTACCTTGCCCTGCTAATAAGTTCCCCCACCCAAAGCTCAGTTTGTTACAGAGCTAGCTAGCAGCATAGGAATTGGGATCCAATTTTTTGTGACCCACCCTCAATCAACATGTTTCCCCAGTGAATGGGTACAGAGTCTTTTTTCATCCTGTGGATACTGAAACTATTTTTTCCTCTTTATTCACAGACATGGAAATCCCCTGTCTGTTTTAATGGTCCTTTTATTTCCAAGTGGTTTTGATTATTTACAGTAATCTTTGATAGATTTCCAATTACACTTCTGGAATAGGGCATTATTAGACAATTGAGCCTTGTGTTACATCACCAGCTGACTAGGGAGGGGTGCCAACTTCCTCCTGCTTGAATGGGCCATCACCTAGTCATACAATTCCCTGGTGACTAACTTTACTCTAAGACCATCTGATAGTTTCAATATGGTTATATATTGCTTAACTATTTCCCGTACACCCGTCTCATGATGGTTACAAGTGGTGATAAGTTACAAGCTTTCAGTAGAGGGCTCACCTGCTACCTTTCATGGAAAAACACCATGAAAGAGATGTATTAGATGTAGTGAGTTTGTTAGAACTAGGAAAGGAGTTGTTTGTAAAGGACAGGGAGCCCTTTTCTAGTTGGCACCAATTGGCCTTGTCAAAGAGCATTTCCTTAGTTCGTAGGCTTACGCCATCAGTTATTTTCTGTCATCTACAGTGTTGCAGGCAATTTTAATCAGTAATGGTCTATGAAGCTAACAATTAACAAATTATGGCCCTACTCAAACTATCTTCATTTTGCTAATTTGTCACGAAGGGCAGAGACTTGTGTAGCCCAAGGTCCAGTGTGCTTCAACAGCAGCCCTGGGAACTACAAATTGTGGACTGCAAATTGCGGCATGTTGGGAGAACTTCCTGCTAGGATGTATCCTCTGCCCTAAGCAGGATCTGAGCAAGGACTAAGCTAGAAGCAGCAGGCAGGCTGCATGTAGAGAGGAGGAGCTGCTGAATTGTGATCCTGTTCTGTGTTTTTTTACAGGTAGGACCAAAAAGGGCTACAAAACACCCTGAAAGGAGTTTAAGTGATACAAAGGGAGAACATGGCCTTGGTTGTTGTGGGGCTTAGTTCCTGTGGGAGTTGGACCATGTTGGAAGGGGGCTGTATTGTATGTTGTAACCTCTGCCCCCAGCAGGGTCTCAGCAGGGACTGAGCTGGAAGCAGCAGGCAGAGAGGAGAGGCTGCTGAACTGTGATTCTGTTCTATATTTTTTTACAGAATAAAGCCTGTTCCTGGTGGTTTGTCTGAGTGGGTCTGGTCTGAGGTGCGTACACACACAGTACACAACACAAAGCACGCCAAGTAGCCTCAGGCCTGGCCTCCCACAGGTGTGTAAAAAGTCACAAGGCTTCCCTTATGCTGAATAACCTCACACTGGGCTAGGGAACAGGAGTTGCACTTGGCATAAGAACGCAAATGACAGACACAATCGTTTATTGTTACCTTTTGGGGATGAGCGGTCTGGTAACCCAAGCAGGATACACTGTGAAAGAACCTCTGGAGAAAGGATTGACATTCCTTAAGAAGTTGCTACAGGGCAGCTTTTCTAGTGCTGTCACTGCTCTGCAGTACTTGTGCTCTGTAAACAAGGGGGTTCCTGAATGCTCCATGCCCTCAGAAGCAGTTACCTACAAGATGGAATTGTGAT